GATATGGAGCCGGGTGTTGGCTCTCACCTCTGTTTCTTGGGTGGCTGTGGTGACAACAGGGTTTAGGCATAAGGAATAATCATCAGTTTAGCATCCTTCAGGTGGCTTTTCCTGATCAGGATTGGATCAGCCAAGTAATCTGTTCGAGTTTATGATACCCACTGAGAAACTGGGCAGAGATCTGAAGCACCTCAGAGCCAAGGGGGCCACCACTAAAGCTCTGTCCTTCCCAGGCACTCATGGGGTCCTGGGGCCTTGGGGAAAAGAGCAGAGTTCCTTTAAAACAATGATGGGCGTGACCACAATCAAGCAACTGGGGAACAGATTGGGCGGCTGCCGGCTTGTGTTTAAGTACATTCCTAAGCTACGGAGAAAGAAATAGAAGTGGTCCCTTGTCTGAGAGCTGAAGAGACAGCAATATTGTGGTATAACTAGGACCAGATGGGCTCTGGGAATTTCCAAAGGCGTTTAGCATATTAGAGAAAATAGCCTTGCAGACACATGCCATAACTGTGTCTGGTTGCCTGCATATCAGTTACGGAGACAACAGACCAGTAGGTTGTGTCTTGGCTGGAAGGCGGAGAGGATCAGCCTCTGACCAGGCCCTGTCCACTCCCCTCTTCCCAGTTTGAGCCCCCTGGACATGGCCCCCTCCCATATCCTGAGAAGAGTAGAGTCACACTTGTGAAGTGGCTAGGGAAGTTTCTGAAGCCACTTAGCCAGCTTGGTCCAAATGCTCAGACCTTTCACTGACACACTTATTGGGGTCCAGGGAGCCCATGCTCTCCAGGGGCACTCGGGGGGTGGAGTTAGAGCAAGCATAGCAGCTCTAAGATATCTGGACTCTTCTTTCCTGGCCAGGAAACCATCTGTGAAACACAGAGCCCCCACTGGTCGATGTGTGAATTAAAGGCACTTCATATGTTCATCCCCTGGCATTCAAGAAGGCCTCAAAGCCAGACCACCCCATTGTGATCATCTTCAGGCTGTGCTGGCTCAAAAGATGCCCCTCCCACTCCAAACAGGATATTCTTGGCCAATATGCTAAGAATTGAGTACCTGTGGTATGGTGTGCCAGGCATTAGGGGACCAACAGACCCAGGTGCCCATGAGGGAAAGCCCAGCCTCTGCTTCTCTGAATTAACCTCCATTTGGTCTCTAGTGCCTGCCTGGGACAAGGCTTCCTGTCTCTTTCAGTCTCAAATCCCCTGAATAAGCATGGAGATTGTCCTTGCCTGCTTTCTGTTACTACAATGAAACACTGGCCTAAAACTACTTGAGGAAGACGGGGTTTATTTCAGCTCACAGGCCACAGTCCATTACTGAGGGAAGTCAGGCAGAAACTGAAGCAGAGAGCAGAGAGAGATGTCACTTACTGGCTTTCTTAGCCTGCTTTCTTATACAGTGTAAGCCCACCTGCCCAGGAGTGGCACCACCCACAGTGAGATGGTCCTTTCTACAACACACACACACACACACACACACACACACACACACACACACTACAGGCCCAATAGGCTCGCCTACAGAGCAATCTGATGTGGACAATTCCTCAATTGAGTTCCATCATCCCAGGTGATTTTAGTTTGAATTAAGTTGGCAAAAACTAACTGGCATAGAGGTTCAGGTTCTTGAGGATCCTTCCTGGGCTGACCCTTGTCCTGTCCTTGGATTGCTTCAGAAATCCAGCAGCTGGAGTCCTGCTTTCAAGAAAGATGGAGTATAGAGGGAAGATGGATACAGTCTATGGCCCAGCACCCAGCACAGGGTCTGGCATCCAGGAAATCAGCTAGGAGCTCTGCACTGGGGGAAGTGAAGGCTGGTGATTTACCCTGATAGTGGCCTAGGCCATTGGTGCCAGGTACAGTTTTGGTGCCTAAATACATATGCTCACCTGTCAAACTGAGAGGCTAGCACTTATATGACCTTATTTTACAAATGGGGAAACTGAGGCACTAAGATCTCTTTCTCTATCTATCTATCTATCTATCTATCTATCTATCTATCTCTCTCTCTCTCTCTCAGTTGCCTGAAGGACAGAGGCAAGGCTTGAGCCTGCTGCCCATCCTGCTCACCTGCTACTCACCTGTTTCTGAAAGGTAGCCGCCATCTCAGGACAAGCAGTGTGAACAGTGGGTTCTGAGTGGGATGGCCAGCAGGGCCTGGAGTGAGAGACCTGGTGCTATGCCTACCTGGTCTCCTTTACCATCAAATCAAACCTGGGAATGAAGGAGTTAACACCTGCATTAATGGGGATAGGGGGGATACGGACTGAGGCACAAATAGTAATGTCATTTGCCCACAGTGGCTAAAAACTGGGTCCAAAACCAGGTATATATGATTCCAGACCTGAATTGCCCTGAGAAGGCAGCTGCCCCCTGAGCCAGAGGCAGAGACTGCTATTGTCGTAACAGGCTTCAGAGAGGCCTCCCATTTCCCAGGTGCCAGGCCCTCATCCCCAGAACTGACAGCCTTGTCAACTGCCCAGGCCTTCCCCAGCCTCTAGGGGATTATGAGGCAGGGGTCTTGGCCTGCTCTGCAGCCTGCTGGGGTGCCCAGGTTACCAACTGAGAAACAACTTTGCCAGTTTCTGCATTAAAGAAGCAGAAGGAAAGTGGCCTTTTCACATGTATTATGGTGATAAGGCACCTATGGAAACCTTGAGGCTACCTACTTCATTTCTGGAAAAACATCTGGCTGACAGACAGTTCACCCTTCAGAAAGCCCAGTGTGTTTTCCACATGAATCTTTCAGAAGTGACAACCCCTGATAATTCCCATCTCTACCCAATGACCGACATCTCTCCAGGTCCCCCATCTGGTCTGGACTACAGGGGTCCAGACAGAGGCCACCTGCCTCTCTTAGGATGGCTGGTAAGCTGGCAGGTGTTTGGGTCAGAAGACAGGGTATGAGAAGACTATATCTCACTGGCACATGTTTTGCAGAGGACCAGCTGTGAGAAAAGGCACCATATTAGAGTCAGAGAACATGGGTCCATTCCTCTCCCCCTGGCCTGTGAACACAAACCAGTTACTCTATGTCTGTGTTCTTATCTGGAAAATGGTGCAGATGAGGCTGGGGATACGGAAGCAGGGTGGTGCATTCATTCCTTTGAACTCTCTACTAGGGCCCTGTTAGAATAGACTTAGGGTACCCTGTTGGGGCCCCTTCAGTTTGGGCACTGCTGTTTCTAGCGCATAGGAAGAGATGGCTGACTCCAGAGAGGAGATCCCTTCTCCCTGTCCCACAGCCTCATAGCCAGGCAGAACACTGTACTAGGGTCTGCACTGATGGGGCAGAGGAAGCCACATACAGAAAGCACATGCTTACTGACAGGCTCTGATTGCCACCTGCGTCACTCTCCCAGACTCACACAGCTATTCAAGGCCTGCCAGCTTAGGACAAAGACCCACCAAGACAGCTGAGGAAGGGAGGCTGATAGAGCAATGACCTCCATAGTCAGACCCAGACCAACAGGACTTTGCAGGTAATAACGGCTCTGGTCTGCCCAACCTTTGGACACAGGAGGCTCCACCTCACACAAGGCAGGAAAGAGCGCCAGGACTATGCCCAGGGATCTCACAGAATTATGTGTGGGCATGACATCTCAGCTGCTGTGAGCTGAGGGTGCAAAGGACTGATGCTTTCCAGGTTCTCTCTCCCCAGGACCCCTGGGCCTCCAGGCAGTCTCTGCTCTTGATAAACAGCATTCCATCAGCCTCTGTGAAAATCCACACGTTCTCCTAGGCTTATTTCCTTTTTATTATTTCCCCAAACCAGGCCCATCTGGAGTCCAGGATGGCCTAGAATTCACCATGAAGCCCAGGTTTACCTTACACTGCCAAATAGTCCCTCTTCAGCCTCCTTAGTGCTATGCTGGGATTACAGGCCCAGTTCCAGTGACTTTGTATTTTGTTTACTTTGAGGCAAGTTCTCTTGTAGCCCAGGCTAGCTTCAAACTTGATTTGTCACCAAGGCTGATCTTGAACTTTTGATCTTTCTGACTCTACCCCTTGAGTTCTGAGATTACAGGTGTGCATGACCACCCTCATTTTGTGCAATGCTGGGGATGGAGCCCAGGGATGGAAGTTAGGTAGCTACTCCAACAACTGAGTTACACCCCCCCAGTCCTCCCCTGGGATTATGTTCAGACAGTGAGGTACACAGGCCCCATAACCAGATCCAAATACCTTGCCTCCAGTGGGCTTGATGCTTCTCCTGGTACAAGCTGTTGGGTACAGAACTCACACGGAGTCTTACGCAGAGGCATTTCAACAAGTCTTGTAGCCCCAAATATACAAATGAGGAGATAGCTTGCAAACTACTTGAGCTGCGACTTTGGTTCAAATACTCACTCTTCCACTTCAGGGACTTCTTCAGGAAACTAACTAACCCCTTCCAACTTCCATTTCTGTATCTATGAAGTGGGTACGAAATGGCTCTGACTCCAGAGTGCTAGGAGGCCCTCAGGTACATCCTACCACACTGGGCCAATGCCTGGCATCTTGTGAAGTTCTGTCAATGACAGCTTCCACCTTCCTGCTCCCTTGGAGTCTCATCACAGGGGCCATGGAATTGTGCCACTGGGGCATGTCTAGTCACTTTGCCAGCCTGACAAGTTTCTGCCTTCCCTGCCTGCCTTGAAGGCCCACCCTGGGACAATACATTCCCTGTGTTCCAACTGCTTCACAGTACTGTCTGACCTCTCTGCCCACTGCCCTGGCTAGGCCCAAGTGAATGTATTGCCAGAGATGCCAGACTTCTGACTGGTAAGCGCCCCTGCAAAGGATGAGCCTCACACTTCCACGGCTGACAGAACAGTGTTGCAACCCTGCTCATTACTCAAAGATATGTGGTCTGGGGCAAACACCTCACGCTCCTTGTGGGCCCTCAGTTTCCTTATCTGCTAAAATGGGAACTATGCAACCCTTGAGTCTCAGATGATGGAAAAAACAACAACAAAAACAACTCAGCCTGGGCAGCCACCCTGGTGAAGTGTCTGGATTGGTGAATTTTAAATCTTTATTTCCAGTGGTCCTCAGGAGGCAGGACTGTCTACCTCAGAACACACAGCAACAACCTGGAGCCTGTCTGTCACTCTGACAGAAACTCCACAATGACAAACTGTGCTGTCACCACTCCCCATGTCCTGGGAGGTGCCTCCAGTCAGATGCAGGAAGGCCATGGCAGAGGGGTGTGGAAGTGCATTGTTAGTACCGTGGGGTTTGGTCCAGGTCAGTGGTTTGGACGATTGGTGACTTTGGCATCCTCCCCACTCCGGCAGAGGGAGTATGAAGGACACCATGGAGGCTGTGGGAATACCCCACATGGTAATGAATATGAGTCCTGTAGTTGGGGCAGATCCAAGGCAGGAGAAAACCCAACTGGCCCACATCCTCCTACTCTTGTGCCATTGGTTAAGCTGCCAATCACTGGCTAGGGGTGGGTGCTTTTCTGCCTAGGTCATGGAGGGCCTTGGCTGTACCTTTAGAGTAAAATGGCCAGAGGGCAGGTTGACCCTGGGGCCACAGACAGTGATGGAAAACTAGCACTTTGGGTGAGGCCAGTGGAGATTGTAACTCACCCAGGGTCTGTGCAGCCACTGCATGTAAATGTTACGTTTGATGCCCTCCCTCCAGGAAGCCCCACCTAGGGCTAGCTTGGCCACCAGCCCCCATCTGACTCCTGCTGCTGGGTATCACCTTCCTCTCCTCTCCATCCTGGTCAATAGCTCCTTAAAAACTCCAGTTTGGAGGGTCACTTCTGAGCTAAACATTCCTCCCAAACTCACTCCCATGCCAAAGTGGGGGCCTGGGGCATCCTCAACATCCCACCCCAACACTATAGAGGGGCTTGGGAAAACAGGTCTAGACCTTGATTTATTGAGGGGAACCCAAACTGGAAAATCCCAACTTCCTTCCCTAGGCCTACATATCCGCATCAGGGACTTCTACCTGTTGGCTAGGAACCCAGCGCCCTCTGGAGGCTGGCTATGGAAACTTTCCTCAGACCCATGGTCACCATCACCCAGGGGTGGACCTTCTCCAGAATGAAGTGAGGGCGTAAACCAACCGGGTCAGGGAGGGCCCATCTTCTGGCCGATCTGGACAGCAGGTGACCCTATTCCAGAGGTCCCTCCCTGTGCCTGGAGCCTGCCTGCATCCTGTGAGGGCTCCTCCCTGGGACTCAGCTCTTCCACCCCAAGGCCCAGAGACCCTTGGGCACCTGGTGGGGAGTGGAGGAGCAGCCAGCAAGGCTGGGCTCCTGCTCTTCCTGCCCCTCCACGCTCACTGGCAGCTGTCTTCACAGCAACAAACACAGGCGGTGGGCGGGTGAACGGGGTTGGGGGGCAGATATGGTAATGCTCTGTGGGTAGCTGTCAAGGTACAGCACAAGAAAGCAGGGGAATGTTTGAGTTCTGTGCCGGGACGCAGGGAAACTCAGGCCCAATGAGCCCCAGGTCATGCAAATTGAGGATGGAGTCAGCGATAATACGAGCTGTGCGCTTCTGGTACCCACCCGAGGTCACCATAAGGATGGGTATATCGTGGGCTCGGACCACCCGGAAAACAACTTCATCCCGCTTCACAATGCCCTGTGGGAAAACAGGGAGGGAGAGCTCAGATGGGTCTGCGTTCCCATGGTGTCAAAAAGTACTACTGCAAGTCTAGCCCTGCTGTGGACTGCTGCTGCTTTAGCTCATCTCCTCCAGCCATAAGGCTGCCCATATTTTTGGCTCTGCCAAACTCCAGAGCATGGCTTCCCTGACCCACCACGGCCAGGGCACACAACTTGGCAGATAGACAAATGCCCAAAAATGACCCTACATGGGGGCAGTAAAGATGTACCTCTGGGCTGATGGACACATGTCCTAGGTGGCCCTAGGGTCAGTATTATGGTTTGAATATGTAAATGTCCTCCACAGGTTCACATGTTTGAACACTTGGTCCCCAGCTGGTGATGCTATCTGGGAAGGTGCTAGAACTTTAGTTGGCAGAGTCTGATAGAGAAAGTAGGCTTTGGCATTTTATACCTGGGCCCGACTTCCTATTCTCTGTCTCTGTCTGTCTCTGTCTCTCTGTCTCTGTCTCTTTCTCTGTTTCCTGTGTAGTGATGAAGCAATCTCTGCTTCCTGACTGCCCCACCAGCCTCATGCTCCTGCTGCTGTCTTCCCTACCATGACTGTATCCCCTCAGTCAAAAAGACTGAGTCAAAAAGACCCCTGACTCCCTACGCTGCCACACTCTATCCTAGCAACAGAAAAGTACTAATACGGTCAGAATGTGCCCAGGCTACGGACACGTGAATCCTCAAGGTGGGCCCCATGTTAGGACATACCGCTGGGCTGATGGACAGCCCCCCAAGGCGGTCCCCCTCAAGGACGTCTGTGCCTGCGTTGTACACCACCACATCAGGTAGATGCTCCTGGAGGGACCTCCTCACGTTCCTCTCCACCTTTTCCAGGTATTCCTCATCTTCTGTGCCCCACTCCAACTCCACCTTCCGCCTGATGGCCTCTGGGGAAAGACACAAGCAGCCCTGAGTACAAGGCAGGGAAAGTGAGGCTGAGGATGGAAAAGATGCAGGGACTTGTTGGTGTCCAAAGCAGGACCGACTCCCTCTCAGTCTGGCCTCTCATCTCATCAAAGCTGAGTGGTGTGGGAACACCCATGGGAGTGCAGGTGACTAAAGCTGCAACACTTCATCCCTGAGGGCCTAGAGATCCTATCCTTGAGCCCTACCAACACTGGATACCCCTCATATGTTCAAACCCAGGTTCCAAATAGTCCAGAGTCAGCCTAGGCCGAGCCAGCAATGAGCTTACCTCAACACCTGTGCATAAAAGTCCCAGCCATGTTTTCATCTTAAATGTCCCCTAGAGGCCCATCAGTTGAAGGCTTGGTTCCCAGCCTATGGTGCTACTCTAAGGTGCTACTGGTGACTGGACCTTTAATGAGGTAGAGGAAGTGGTGCTACTTGGGAGTGATATATCAAGGCTATGTTCCTTCATGTGTCTTTGCCTTCAGCCATCATGAGGTGAGAAGCTTTGCCTACTACATGTGCAGCTGTGGTACCCTGTGACATGACAGGACCAAAGCAACAGGGCCTATTGGAAAGACAGACCTTTCCTCCTCTCAAGCTCTCAGCCACCTCTGCTCCAAGGCTGCTGCTGACCTCAGTAGTGGTCCCATGGTACTGGCATCTTCAATATTAGCCTACGCATTCTATCACAGGGACATAAAGATGACAGACACTACACTACCTGTGGAGTGGGCAAGTTTCTGATTTCAAACCTGGTCTCAGAGCCTTTGAGTACATTTTTGCTATTTTTAAAAAATATTTTATTGTATTTAAATTTAATTTGTATTTGAGTTTAATTACATCTATATGGGGGGGTGCATTAGTACAGTGCCTGCAGAGGCCAGAAGAGATCATTGGATCCCCTAGAGCTCGAATAAGAGGTAGTTGTGAACAACCTTATATGTATATGAGAGTTGGGAATTGAACTCGGCTCTTTTTGAATTGAAGGTTGTTTTGTTTTTTTGTTTTTTCCAGCCTTCATTTTTGGTACCAGTTCATGGGGTATTGCTGTGACAGATTTTAGGAAGATTGTGGTAATACTTGAACTTTGGGTTGGAAAAGCCATTGAGTGTTCAGTGGCTCAGAGGGCTGTTCTGTGGGAGCCTGGAAGATAAGAATGTGGAGGGCAATGGAGACAATGGATGCCAGTGCTGTGAAGCTTCAGAGGGAATTACAGGCTCTGGTAGGACCATTCGTGTGATGTTTTGTATTAAGAATCTATGGCTTTGGTCATCTGGAGCTTAAGGATCAGCTGTGACTAACAAGAAACCATCGGCACTGAAGTGAAACCTTTGCTTTCCTGGGACAGTTAATACTAGTCAGTTGGGGCTGAGAATTAGTGGTGGTTAAGAAGAGACAGGCATCATCAAGGCAACATTTTCTGGAAGTGTTTCCTCAGGATCAGTACGTAGAAACAGAGGTTCAGAGGAGGCCAAGGCTGTATATTGTGCTGGAAGCTGAGTTTTATAATATGTCTGAGTCTCCCAAGTGGTACTGGTTTTGAAGGCCTGAAGGGGTTTATGGAGAAAAGTTGAGGCTTGGCGTCATGAGGCTTGGAGAGCCTAGAAAGGCCAGGATTGAATTTTGGGTTTTCTTTGGTTTGATTGTGACTGTGCCCTGGTTCTTCCTTCACAGAGTGAGGAAAACATGTTCATTTTGATTTTTATGGGAAGCCAGTTATCAGACTGTAGATGTTTTAAAGAAACTCCAGAGTTTTAGAACAAGCTTGGAATTTTAGAGATACTCATATCTTTGGAGAGACTTTGGACATTTTAGAGAAACTTTGGACTTTGAAATATATTTTAAATGTTTTAAGGAAACTGAACTTTTAAAGTGCTTGACTTTTTAAGGACTAGAGCTTTTATAAATCAGAATGTTTTATATTGTAATATTAATATTAACATACCATCTTGGGGACACATGAGAAAGGAAAGGTTGAAGTTGAACAGTGATGTGTTTGTGTGTCAAATTGACAAGGGGTCAATTGTGTTGGCTAGTGTTTTATGAGTGGTGCCACCTCTGGGCAGGTGGTCCTAGGTTCTAAGAAAAGAAAGAAGCAGGTCAGGAGGAGCAAGCAAGTAAGCAGCATCCTTTTATGGCTTCTGCTTCAGTTTCTGCCTTGAGATTCTGCCTTGAGTTCCTGCCCTGACTTCCCTCATAATGTATTTTATAGAGACTGTAATAAAACCTTTCCTCCCCAAGTTGCTTTTGGTCATGGTTTTACAAAAACAATAGAAATCTAACTAAAATACAAATCTTCTGAGTTTACTTCTGTCATCTTTTTTCTATTTCTCTCTGTGTCACTGTCTCATCTATGCTCGCTCCTAACAAGAAGCTCTTGTAATGTAGTCTCTGGCCAAGTTTCTGCGGTCTTGGGGTCGAGTGACTCCCTCAGGTCTCCACAGGCTTGCAGGTTCAGTAGAAGCACGCACTTCATGGAAATGCTACAGATAAATGAGGTGGTATAGCCATACCCACCAGGCACACACTGAGGTCAGAGATGGGTTAAAACTTACCTTTAGCAAAGCGGTCCCCAGGGTAGATGTGGCGGTTGTAAACATCCATGATATATACACGCCTGTCACCCATGAAGTCTCTCTCATGCCCATTGCCCTGTGGGCAGACACAACCGTCACTGCAGGCAGCTGCTCTCAGGAAGGGGGACCCCAACCATCTCAGGAATTGCCTCCTGCTTTGTTGGGTGTCAGGGACCTAGTGCCACACAACTGTCAAGCAGCAGAGCTGGACACACTTGAGGCGTGACCTCATAGCCTTCTTAAGAACCTGCAGTATGCCCAAGCCCTGTCTCTCACCCTCTCTGTGAAACAAGGCAGGGTCTGGCCCTGCTACCCGCTTGGCTCTGCTGGGTCATCAGCGGGATTGGGACAAGGAGAGAAAACTGTAAATGGTTGTGCACATGTAACTTGGTTTACTTGGAGCAGAGTATAGGGGGCAGAGAAGTTAAGGTTTACAAAGCGCCTCCAGAGTGGTCAGCAGTTGGCAGTGAAACCCCTTGGGATCAAGGACAGGAGCAAGGATGTGGATCTACCACCCTAGCTGGGCTGGGCCAATAGGAAGACTAAGTCTGCACTTTGAGCAAAGCAGATTAAACTGGCTGAAGCACACTTGGTCCATTTCCAGAAGGAGGGTACCCCACAGCTTGGGGCTGTGTATCAGACAGAGGCTGCCAAGAACATGGGAAGGGGACTTTCTCACCAAAAAGTGCTGGGGTCTGGGCTCCTGCAGAGTGCTCACCTGATGAGCATCCAGATCAATGATGGTGGCTCTGGAAATGCCTTCCACACGTTCAAACAGGAACTGACAGGGAGAGAAGAGGTGTGAGGACTGGACAAGCCAGAAGACCCAACCCAGCCCTAAGGGGTTGAGGAGTCAGAAGGACAGTTGGCAGACATTGCTTTCCCAGGAGAGCTGGGGTACTGGGAGAAATGGGGTTGTGTGGGAAGGGGGGATGTCAGGAAAGGTTCTGGGGACAAACAGTATCCTATGGCCTAGAGACTGGGGAATCAGGTCCTCAATTCCCTGGGGAATATGGGATTGACATATTAGCCCCATAGTCTTGGAATTTAACTCCTCAAACTCTGCTTCATTCTATAATGCTAAATCTTGATGCCTCTTCCTTCTCGAGGAGAACCCCTTCCATCTTCCCCTCCACGTTCTTCTGTGCCCTGTTCTAACAGCCAGGCCTACTGACAGCCCATCTACTGTGAGAACAGAGATCCCATTAGCCTGGCACTCAGCAGGAGACTGGGCAGAGAGCAGACTGGAGGGCCAGTTTGACATAATCACAGTCTGGGCAAGCTCCCTTCACTGGGTTTCCTTGTTTGTGATAGTCAGGGGTTCAGTGAGGGGAGGTGCAGGGGAAGAAGCTGGGTCCAGGTTAGGATATGAAATCAACACCAGCTGTGTGGTCACCATGAGCGCAACTTCTCCTCGACCTCCTCCCCTTCCTCCCACTTCCCTTTCCTGGAGTGTGTGGTGAGCTATAGGAAATTATGGGGGAAGGCTTTCAAAGGAAGGTACCACAGGTTCAGAGACACACCTTGATAGCCAGTGTGATGTCTGCATAGGCACAGAAGCCCCCGCCTCGGTCACTGGAGCAGTGATGGAAGCCACCGCCTGCAGAAAGGCAGACAGTGGTGCTGGTCAGAGCCAGGTCCAGGTGTCCTCTCCCTCCCTTCCTGCTGGGATTCCAGGTTGGCCAAGTAAACAGAACACCTGGGCATGTCGTCACTCCAAGCCAAGAGGTAGCTCCATGCCATAGCCACCTCATCCCACAATAAAGGCCATTCTCAAGGGAAACCCAGCCACGTCAGCTAGCTTGGCTGCCCTGGGTTCCCCCACCAGGAAAGGAGCAGCCCCCACAGCTTGCCTTGGACCAGGGTTCTCCTAGTAGTAGATAGAGATGACTAGGACCACAGCTGTCCATGCCACCCCCTAACCCTGAGACATAGTCTGGGAGTCCTTGTTGGTTTGGACCAGAATGATGCTGATGCCTGCCTTCTGACAGAAAGACTAGTAAGCCGCTACAGGCCCTGTATCCCTGCAGACCTTGGGCTATAGGAACCTTCTGAAATGGAGATTGAAAACTACTCCCACCCCAACAGTGTGAGGCTAGGGCCATGCAGGTGAAGGACTTGCCTCTTCCACGCCTCACGGTCCCCTAAAAGTGTACCCAGTTTGCTAAAGCCTCTCTATAGCCCAGAAGGGCGCTCCACCTTCACCAGTACCTCTTACAGATGGTATGCCTCGGGCACACAGAGGAACAACAACATGCCCAGAGAACACAACTAGCAAACAGCAGCATTATCATTGAAAGCCAAGCTTGATCAGGACCGAGATGCTCAACTTTAACCAGACCCTAGTTTCCATAGTAGAAGTGTCACTGTATCCTCCATGAACTATGTTACAGACATGTAGCACACAAACCACCCATGTGTTTGTGCAGCTGGGTATCCTAACCCCATGGCTAGGCTAGATCTAATGCTGAGTACCCAGCAATGCAAGCAGTAAGAGACATGGCTCCTGGCCATGCAGAGTTCACAAAGAGGGCTCAGGGCCTGCTACAGGCCTCCACACAAGCCAGTGCCTTCTCACTGTATTAAGTTCCTCATGAAATGACTACACAACGGAACAACAACAACAAAGGCTGCTGGGGAAAATTCAGTTGTCAAGGACTGTGCAGACAGATGTGCAAGGGCCACACAGAACCAAGAAGCACTAGCCCTCAGGAACCCTGCGGTGGCACTGAGCCTGGGCCCCTCCACTAACCACATGACTGAGCTCTGTCCACTGGCCTAGACCCCAGAAGTATGGAGCTTTTCAGAAGAGCCACATGGAGGCAACTAATTCCATGCAGACATGCCCAGGGACCTGACTAAAAGATGCCACAGGCTTTCTGGGTGGGAAAGAACTTCCTGTCATTGAAAATATGAAAATGTTGGGCATGGCATCCTCAGGACAAATATCCTACACAGATAGAGGTATTGAGGCCTGCACAGGAACGAAAAGGCCGCATAACCACTTCCAGGCTACTGAGCTGGCTCTGCGGGCTTTCCTGCTCCTCTGTCCCCACACCCTTTCCAGCTTCACCAGGACAGCCAGGCATTGTGAAGCCCCAGCACTCACCAACATTGATGGCCCAGCCTCGTTCCACGGCAAGCTTCCCCGCCTTTGGAGACAAGCAGAAGGTAAGGAGTTCAGGCCTCACCCCAGTGTAGTCATGCATTCAATATAAGGTCTGGGCAGGAATTGGCCACAGGTGGGATCAGACAGCACCTCATTCCTCAACAGACCAGCGGCAACCAAACCAGACTGCCAGCATGGGAAAGGGTGGGTGGCCCTCCTGACTTTACAGGGGAAGCACCAGAAATTCAAGGGAAGTGAGCCAGGGTCCCACATGGCTTTCGAATGGAAAAGAGATAGCCTGCTCCTTGGGATTAATGCAGGCTGGTGGCTGCAATCCTGCAGGCATTGGGGTGAATGGCAATAAATACAAAACTTGGCAGTGTCGGAGGCCAATGACCATGGCTGGGACAGACCTCATTGATTCAGATGCAAAGTGTCCCTCAACCCACTCCACAGTCTGTTAGGAGTGCTACTGCAGAATATACTTTTGTTGGGTTACCAACACGGTAAGTCAAATTGTTATTGGGTGGGGCAGGACCCTACAGGGAAAAATGGGGTAGGGACCAGGAGCTGCACACCCCACCCAGCCTACCATAATGGTGCCTCCAGTCTGGGTCCGCAGGGGCCTCAGCACCTTCCTCTGCACAAGGAAGTTGGGGAGAAAGATGACAGGGGGGATCTCAGTGATGGTAGCCACCACAAAGGACCACTGTGGAAAGAGACATGGAAGTCAAACTTGGTGCCAGGCCTGGGCATAGCAGCTCCATCTCTTTGTTGGGAAGTGACAGCTGTGAGCCACCTCACAGTCCCAGCTTTTAGCTTGGGCACAGTGAGGTTGATTCACTGTGAGGTTGGGCACAGTCAGCAGACTGAGGCACTTTTCTGCCCTCTCGTGTTCATAACAAGGGCTGCAGGCTGAGCTGAGACTGCCTCCTCCCAGATGCCCAGCAAGAACCAGGAGGGCCTTGTCTCTGGTGCCAGTCAGCACTTCCTATGATCTTAGGGCCTATGAAACACTCCAGGTGGGCTTGAGGTCCTCTCTTGTGCTGGGACACTTGTAACCAAGGCTAACAAGCGAGCAGGTGCTATGACAGAGAAGAATTAGTCTTTAGAGGGCCTTGTGGAAAAGACATCCACAAAAGGTAAAAAGTCAACAAGAGTCCCCCAGATGCAGGAATTAGGCCAAAGATGCAGTTTAGGGCAGGGAGTTGAGTCCAGAAATGAGAGGAAGTGGGCATGGCAAGGCAGTCTTCCACAGTTCAGGGCTTGGTCTGCTAGGACAGGCTCACAGCATGCTGTCGGAGCAGTACAGAGGCACGGAAAAACAAAAGCTAGAACTAAACACTAAACTCACAGGACCCCCTCTCCTCTCCATCGGATATGAGCTGCTTTGTTGTTTTTTTCTGCACTGCCAATCCCTGGACCCCTATCCTTTCTGCTAAGCGCTGCAGAAGCCCGGTGTGATGTGCCTGGCTCCCTCTGCTGCTCCTTGTTCTTTTGTTGGAGACACCTCTCTCTACACGTCCCTAGATGTCCTCTTACCAAGTAGACCAGGCTGGCCTCCAACTCAGAGACCCAACAGCCTTTGCCTCCGGAATGCTGTGACTAAATGCACCACTACACCCTGCCTGTTCTTTTACAGACAGTTGTTTCTCGCTTTCACCAGGGGATTGCTTCATCAGGATCCATTAGAACACCAGGCCCATGTCCAAATGGAGTCACATTTATATGGAACCCGAGCACATCCTCCTGCATAAATCCTGCCTAGATTGCTTATCACATGGACCGTGTTACCTCTCTGAGAGTGTATGTCATAGCTTAGGGATTAGCACAAGAAATCTGCATGCTAAGATGGATGCAACATTCTTTTCAGAATATTCTCCCTCTGTGGTTGGTTGGACCTGAGAACAAAGGACCCAAATAAATGGACTCTTGCCTGTCATTATGAGTCTATTTTGAGCTAAAGGTAATGTGGTAATACATGCCTGTCATCCCAGCTTGGGAGGCAGAGGCAGAAGAATAAGGAGTCCGAGGCCACCCTTGACTACACAAGACCCTGTCTCAAAGAAACAAAACAAAATTAAAAATACATATGTTGTTTAATTAGAATCTCGTGCCTCAGTTACTTCAGGAGTATTTCAAATGCTGGCCAGCCACTGTGGCCGGTAGTTGGATGGAGTTGATAGAATGTGCCCATCATAGCAGTTTTTATCAGGCAACACTGCTCTGTAAAAAAAAAAAAAAATTAGTGACCAAATAAAACATTGGTGCAGGGAAGGGGCGGCCTGTGGCTGGGCTCCAGGGAAAGAAGGACAAAAGGGCTTGGAACAGTGGGCTGTGGGCCAGGGAGATGGTCGGAGTTTAGTGGATAAAGGGCTTCACGGGACTCTGACACGGGGCAGGGTGAGCAGTAGAAGACAGAGCAACTGAGAAGAGCTTTGGTGTGGAGGAGACAGCGTGTGACAGATAAGATTATCTGGGATGTGCAGCAGGTCAACCAGGGAACAGCCCAGATGAGTAGGCAGGACCCACCCAGAATGCCTTGTGACAAACTTGGGTGGGGCAAGGGCTCCGAGATGGTCGGGCTGAACGAAGGGCTTCAAAGAGGCTCTGTTGTACGGTTTTGGGTGAAGCCCTTTCCCTCTGCCTGTCCTCTTGTCTGCAGACCAGGGTTTGAAATGAGGGTTTGTAACTGTGGAACCCTGGAGAGGCCTGCCCTTACCTCCATAAAACACTGTCCTAGCTGCCCAGAGGTTATACTGGAGATGCGCACGGCCACCACAGGTCTGTGTCACCAATCAAGGCTAGAAGACATTTGTGTCTATCCACTTCAGAGGGGCACTAGTACAATCAAGCTTAAATCTAAAATAAAGCTAAAATCCAGCTGCTCAGGAGGTGAGTGGGAAGATCATGAGCTCAGATGAACCTTATCTCAAAATTAAAGGTTTCTTTAAAGTTTTTTAAAGAGGGAAAGATTGATGATGTGTCTTAGTAACTGAGTGCTTGCCTAGTGTTTGCTCTCTAGTATGGAGAAAAGAAAATTAAATAACTGTAAAATAAATAAGCCTAACGTTTCAGGGGTCCCTGGGCTCTGTAACTTTTCTTGCCAATCTGGTAAGTCCAAAGACTTGTGCTGGGAGCTGTAGACTCCTGATTGGATGTCCTCGTGGGCTCTCTCTGCTGCTTCTATCTGCTATTTGTTATTTTACTTTTGCTTGATATATACGTAATAAGCTCATTCCCTCAAAACCCATATGGCTATGCTCGATCTTTTCCTGGTCCACAATTGGTATATACCCCAAATAATCATAATTGGGTGTTCCAACATACGTGTAGGGGCATATCAATAGCAACAGTACTGATGATCACAGGAGTGGAGAGATAACTCATGTGTGCATAAGCTAATAGAGGGACAAACAAGATGCAGTACACCACATGGTAGAATGTTATGCATCCACGAAGAGGGGTGTGTAGGGGTGGTGTGGCTCACATGCTTGACACCCGCTGGATGAGTTGGGCAGTGAGGCAAGCCAGCCGCCAAAGCACACACACTGTTTGATTCCATCTGTACTAAGTCAAGTACAAAGTACACGAGTCTGTGGAGGCACACTAGAGATGGGCAGGGACTGGGTAGAGGGCAGGGCACACGGGGGACCAAGTGCTCCATAGGATCAGGTTTCCTTTCAGGGTTATGAGAACAGTTGTGGATCATGACGTCACATGGAAGATGCTGGAAATGCTGAACTTCAAAGACAGTGGATTGTGTCATATGTAACTAACCACGTTTTCTTTTTTCTCAAAAGGAGAGATGGCCTTTGGAGGGAAGAACTGACAAAGTCAAAGACCCAGGCTCCCATCCCCTATAGCCCTTCCCATCTTCTGCCCTCTAGGTGCCCTGAGGTCAGTCTCCCTCCCTCCCACAGGGCCTTTGCACTTGTGGCTCCTGCTTAGACTGCCCTTCCCTCTCTCCCACTGCAGGCCACCCTTCAGGCCTGCTGGCCTCACTGTCCTCTACACTCCTTTCTGTGGGCGCTTGGCACCTGCACAGCTAGTTACATTTCTTCTCTGCTCTCCATTGGAGAGTGACTTGGTCTCTTGTTCCATCCTTTCCCTGCAGGATCCAGAACAGTGTGCACGCTAGTTATGAACTTACCAATGGTGCTCAGGGACAGACACCAGGAGCTGCCCAGCTCTGACCTGTTCCAGAGGCAGGGCCCTAGAGTTCACAGCCAGTAAAGGGACAGGGCTGCCACTGCCAAGATGCCAATCTTAACGTGACCAGCCCTAGGCTATACACATAGAAGATGCTCCTGCACCAATGTTTTGTTTCTCTTTCGGTGTACTGGTCAATGGGCTGGGAGGGCAGTGTTCCCATCCCAGGCAGGTGTTTGGGAAGAGCAGATGGGGGGCGGGGTATGGTACACAGTACCTGCAGAAATACCCAAGGATAACAACCCTGGGAACCCTAAAGCGAACTCAGACACTGCCTGAGATATCCACAGCAGAGGAAAGGGGCAGACAATTCGGACATGGGGTGGGGGAGGTGCACTGGAGCTGTAGCAAGAGATAATGGGTCTCACCTGAGCGGCAACAGCATTTCATACATCACTCCCCCACTGCAAACCTGTTCGTGGTACTCAGGATAAAATCCACGTTTCCTCCTCAGCTTGCCAGACCCAGTATGGCCTGGTGCTGATTGCACAGGTGTATTATAAAAGTTATGTTTTCCCCTTTGATCTGGTTCCCAGGGAGCTCTGGGCCAAATGTTACTTCACCATCATCTTGGTGAACTTGTATGTGTTATGTTGATATAGCTAAATCCCCCAGCCTTGTTCTTATTTTCTATTTGGGACTCACAGACCATGTTGCTTCTAGGATTTTGGGACCACAGCCAGGCAGGCAGCCTGCCTCATAAGTTTCCCTGAAGGTTTTATAAATGGGTAACTATCCTGCTACCTACCTCACCAGGCCCCGCCTCATCCAGTCCCCACTCTGTTTTGGTCTCTCCATGTCTAAACTCAAGAGCATCCTACCCCTTGCCTTCCCCTTCCCTTCCCCCTCTGCACTCCTGGCCAGGTTCCTGGGCTATGCACTAACCACGCATGTCTGGGCCCCAGGAAACCAGGGCAGCCAAGGCACTGGGCTTCCAGCCAATGCCTCATACCTCTCTCCTGGGAGCCAGGACACAGCGCCTTCCTGGCAATCTTTCATAAGCTCACACTGTCATGGCCCATCTAGAATTCTCACAGCTCAGGCCATGGCCAGAGGGGGAAGAGGCCAGCAGCTATGGCCCTAGTCCTGGATAGATGCCGGAAAGAGTTCTCCCCATGCTTACCAACCCCCTCCCCCAGAAAGTGACCTTGAGCAGGCACCGCCTATTTCTAGGCCAAAGTCTTTCCAGACAGACCGAAGCAGCCTGTTGACTTCTGCCATCTGTGGAGTCCTCAGATCAAGATGACTCTAACAGGAAGCTTGGAGACCAGGGCTCCCATGCTCTGAGGCAGAGAATCAATGGCACCCTGATACAGTTCAACCCACACCAACCTGTCACATAAAAGATGTACTAAAGACCTCGACTCCCAACAGAAGCTTGCAGCCTCCCTCCCATGCAAAGAGGCCACCAGCAGACAGTGGTAGCCCAGTGTGGCCTGCAGCTAGGATTTAAAATCTTACAGTTAGCACATTCAAAATCAGGGTAGGGGCTGGGGCTGAGTGATAGGGTGCTTGCCTAACATGCATGAGGCCCTTAGTTCAATCCCAATAATCATTTTAAAAAATAGGAAAAAGAAAGAAATCTGAGAATATCATTTAATAATCAGCATTCTGGTTTCTCTTGAAAAACAGGTACTGTAGTCATGCTGGGTCTGGCTGTGCCACAACCAACCACACGGGGAAGGGAAGGTCTTCTGAGGTTGATCCCAGACACCTCTACCTGCCCCCACCCTGGTCTTCATGTTCCCTGCAGGGGCCTTCCCTAGGGGCCTTTCAAACCCATTTATGTCCAAGAGTTTTCATTTACAAGGAGTCTTTAGAATAGCATCTCAACCCACTACAAAGACAGGACTGAATGAAGTGGCCTTAGTGGACAGGACAGGGGCTGATGTCCCTCCCCTTCCCACTGAGGTGATCCCAGCAGAGGCCTCTGAGGCCTGTCCAGAGCATGGGCTGAAAGTCACTAAATATGCCCAAAACCTCTAAGGGGGTCTTGCACACCCCTGCTTTCACATACCCTGAGAATGGAGAGCTAACTACCCACAGTAGTTAGCTTCTTACATCTCCCTCCTTATCTTAAAAACTAGAGACTCCCATGTTCCCCTGTGCTAGGGGCAGGAGTAGGTACCCCTAAGGCTGAGCTTCACCTCCTCCAGCCACTGCACCTGGCTACAGCCCACAGATCCCTGTACTGTACCTTCAACTCGTTGAGATAGCGCCTCGTGTGTACCACCAGCAGGTCCTCCTCTGAGGCCTCCCGCGCCTCCACCAGCATGCCATCCGACAGCAGCTTCTCTTCTGGAACCACAGAGCAAGCCCCTGCTTCCTTTTCAACTCTCAGACCAGGCCCAGCCTCTAGACCTTCCCTTAGGCTCCAAGCTGGCCTCTGGCAGCCTCCTACCCCCACCCCAGCACACAGTGAACTGGTGGGTATTCTAAGAATGGCTGCCTCCCGTAGGCCAGTGTGGACAGCGGCTAGGCTCTCTGTCCCAGGGTTTTGAACTTGAAACACATGGCAGCCTCCATATTTTCCGTGTTGCTGACAGCCACCAGATGAACTCAGGCACAACTGGATAACTTCCAGAAGCAGATGGCACAAGGAAAAGGAATGCTATGAAAAAGCTCTTCATAGCAACCCTACCTCCACAGGTGGCTTGGGGCAGTGTGGCCTTTCGTCAACCCCTGTGTGAGCCTTGCTCAATCCCCCTTGCTAAACCAAAGGAGAGCAGTAGCTCCCAGGCAGCAGAAGCCAGAGCTGAACAACTGCTGTTTTCAGAGCATTGCCTTCCTGCTGTGACCTTCTATTTATGGCAAGTGAAACTGCCTTTTCCCATTTTGATGGCATGGGTTTCCTTTTAAAATAAATTTAAGTTAAAAAAAAAATCTCAAAGCTCATTTAAAAATACGCAGTAAACACAGGAGGGGGTAGTATAGGGGACAACAGGGTATCTGAGTGGCTTACGGTGTCTAGTGTCTGTTCTCTGTATATGGTTACCAAAGAGTAATGTCATTTTGCAAGAGACCCTGAGGCTGAGACCTGGCACTTCCTCCAGAGTACTGGGAGCCATGATGACTGGGCCATGATGCTCTGGGTTCTAGAGGAATCAGAATCTAGGGTCTATTTTCAATGAGTCACGCTCAGAAATCAACCAGTCCCATTCACTTCTACACACACATCCAGGCAGGGGCTCCCTCCCACAGCAACCCATGACCTCTGGCACCTCCAGACCCAGCCAGCTCCTCACAGGGCCCCCAAGAAGCCTGCCCTGTGGTCCTGCCTCCCATCCTTCCTCATCCTCAAAGGAACAGGAGTAAAAGGGACCAGCTGTTCACTCCCAGCTAAGGGAGATGAGGAGCCCTTCTGTCGAGCCACTGGGAGAGGCAGGAACCCAGGGGGCAGAGAGAGCACTGGCAGAAAACCACAAGGCAGGCAACAGACATGCAAGGCTAACATCCCGGGCTTACGCCAACGCCACGCATCACCTGTGTGCTTCCTACTCCATGTTTTCTTTTGGATGTTCAGGCTGGTCCCTACAGTGGAGGGGAAAGCTGTACCACTTGCCGTAGATAGGAGGTCACCAGAGAAACAAAAACAAACCCAACAGAAATAGCTGTGTTATTAACGTCTAATTTAATCCTATTTTCTGCGTAATGCAAGGCTGGGAGCTTGCTCTAGATTTTTTAGGAAGAGATGGGGACTAGATCTAACTGGAGGGAATATGAGACAGGACTCATCGTTCTAGGCAAGACTGCCTGGGAAGACCCTGTAAGAGCAGGGCAGAAGGCAATCAGGGGCTGAAGTCGAATAAGGATGGGATGAATACAGGGATGGAGGAGGCAGGTACAGGTATGAGGGCATGATGAGGATGGGGAGAAGAAAGAAATGGAGGAGACAGGTGCAGGTGTGAGGGGGTGGTGAGGATAGGGAGATGGAGGGGGCAGATGCCAGTGTAAGGGGGCCTTCTTACCTTTCAGGAAGTTGATAACTTTGCCCCATTTCCCAGCATCAAAGGGGTGCAACTTCTCCAGGCCCATGAAGGTAATGTTGTAACGTGGCGAATACACGATGGGCCAGCGTTTCTCTGGTACATGCTGGTATAGCTGTGTTGCGTGTGGCCTTCAATGTGCAGAGAGATAGACGCAGATATGAAGGGCAGCCTCCTTATGAAAAGCAGTCTCCCCTCCCCACTCAGGCCAGGTCACTCAACACCAACAAGAATGAAAACAGCTCCTTCCTGAGCCCTGGCTGGTTTTGACTAAACCCGCTTCCAACCCAGTCCTCACAGCAGCTCTGGGGACCAGGTGTGTCCAAGGTCACATGCCAGTGCCAGGTGTATTCAGGAGTACTGGCGCCAAGGCCCAAGGCCTGCACAGGGGAAGGCAGGGTGCGGGGTGAAGGGAGTTGGAATGTGGCTGTCTCACGAGTCAGCTCACGCATCTGCGAAGCTGGGAACAAAATGCTCTGGAGATGAGGGTGGGGGTAGCGCGTAGATCGCAATTGCAGGAGGCTGTGCCCTCGTCGCAGCCCTGCAGCCCACTGCGGTGCCCTGAGGAGGGGAGACCCACCATTCGCCCGCGCAGTCTCCCAGCCGCCCCCAACTGTCCCGCCGAACCCACGGAGATCCCCAGAACCCGGGCTTGGCCCCATGCGCGACCCAGCAAACTCACATCCCGCAGCCGGCCCTGCCTGCTCTAGCCGCCACTCCGCACCGGGAGGGGTGGGAGGGGTGCAGGGGGCGGGGCAGGCGCAGAACACGCCTCCATGGCGCAGGTCGCTGTGGGTGGAGCTCTGGCCTGCAGTAGCGTCACAGACGACTGGACCCGCGCTGGCCAAGAAGAGGCACCCAATGGAGTGCTGCCTGGGGGGCGTGGTCACGCGCAGCTCCTCCCGCACTCCCAAGGTAGAAATAAGCAGACACTTGCTTAGGTGCTGTGACCGTGGCCTTTTCTGCGCAGTCCGCGCTTCTGTGACCTCACTGTGGGGGTGGTAGGTCTGTTCTAAGCTTACCATCTCCGCTGTATGCTCCTTCTTGGGATGTAGCCCCCCCATTCCTGAGCCATCTGTGGCTACTTCACCATGGTATAAGCACTCCCCACTTGACATAACTCCCCAAACCTGTTTCCCTATCTTTAGAACAGGCCTGATTATCCGGTCTTTAGGGTACAGTTGTGTATATCTGAACACTTCTCCTGTGTCCATTGCCCCTGAATCCTGGCTCTGGAAGCTGACCGACAGCTGGGGCTGTCTGTGTGGCTGGAACGTGGGAGGAGGCCCCAACAATAGAGCCCAGAAGAAGAGACAACAGGCCTCTGTTGGTCCAGCTGTCTCCATCAGCCAAACAAAAGCAGCTGACTAGAGGGCTGTCAGGAGCTAGCACAGCAGCTGGGAGCCACCAGGGTCATGCGAAGGGAACGGGCAAATTTCTTGTTTGCTAGGGGATAGGGCAGCTTGCCATAGTGTGTTCTGTGTAGATCAGAAGACAATTTATTTCCTCTACCTTTGTGTGAATTCCAGACACTGAACACAGGTTCTATGGCCTGAGTGCCAGCAGCATGTATTTGCCAGATGAGTCCTATCATGGGCTTACAGTTTTGAAAAGTACTTCTGATGTGCCTACTGTTAGACATTTTTCAGGAAATGGGACATAGATTGTGAAAGATGCTGAGACAAATTGTCCTTAGGAGTGTGAGGTCAGTCAGGAGTTACTGCACCAGCTATAGGTAGTTAGGTGGAGTTTGAGGAGACAGAGCCTTCAGTTCAGGCGGACAAAGGCAATTTCTTGTTCTTAGAGGTTTGGAGGAGTTTCCATACTACGTGACCCAGCCTATGTGCTGACCCATAGTAGATAAGAGCCTGAACCATAGAAGATAAGACAATGACAATGTAATTCAAAGTTGCTTTGGGGTTGGCCAGGAAGAGGGAATGGTGTTTGATTACCACAACCTAGGAGGGGAGTCTTCCTTATCCCTTTGTTGTCATTAGGCTTGAGCCTGTATTCAGCCCACGCTGGGCCACGGGTCAGCAACCTGGCCTTGGAAGGTTGAATCAGTCCTCTAAGCTTTCGCTGCTGCATCTAGAAATGAGTGAAGTGATGCTGACTGTCCACCTGGGGAGGCTGAGAGACTCCAGGATGACAGCATCTCCTAGTGAGTGCCTGTCAGTTAGATAGCACTAGGTCAGTCCCAAAAGCCTCATGCACACTGAACTCTAAAAACCCTGAAAGGCAAACTGTCCCCATTTTATACAAGAGAACTGAGGCAAAAAAAAAAAAAAAAAAGTGAAGTTGCTTGCCCAAATATCAGGGGATAAATGTGCAAAACTTAGTGACAAAACTAAAAAACAAACAAACAAACAAAACCCACAATATATTGCCAGAGAGGCTGGTCTCATCTCTGGGAACTTTCTCTGGGGTTTGGGAAAGCAGCCTAGGTGAACGTCAGGTTGAGAGAATGAGTCAGAGCATGCAGCACCTAGGAGCTGAGGCCCAAGAGAGCAGAGCTTGTCTAAGAATGTGACCTAAGTTTTGTGTTTGTGGCTGAGGAGGGAGGTAGCCTGAGGAATCCTGAAGACTGTAAATCCCTTCAGAATCTCATGGCAGGCTGCACCACCTGTCTGCACTGTCACAGGTGGAAGAATAAGCCGTGTGACTTGAGCAGTTGAATGGGGGGGGGGCTCTTTGTTACAACGTTCTCCAACACCTGTTAGGACCCTGCAAAACCATAGCTGTGCACACAGTAGACAGCATGGAGAGCCTCAGCCAAGCCCAAGGGTTAATGGGAGAGACAAATTGTTTACTTTGTACAATGGAGGGGAGGGGGGTTTGCCTACATGTATGTCTAGGCACCACAGGTGTGCAGTGACTATGGAAGCCAGAAAAGGGTGTTGGATCCCCTTGAATTGAAGTTACAGATAGTTAGTAGCCACCATGTGGGTGCTAGGTGTCGACCTCTGGGTTTTCTGGAATAGCAGCAAGTTCTCTTAATCACCAAGTCATCTCTTCAGCCCCCAGGAGGGGAAAATCTTAAAATAGGAAGCAACAGTCATAATTACTAAGTGTTGTGTTATCGTAGACTGTTCAAGCCGAGGCTCTGAGGCAGTGGTGGGGCCCTGATTCACAGCAGTCAGAGAAGGCTGCTTCAAAATGGTGGGTTTGTTTTTTGTTTGTTTGTTTGTTTGTTTTTTCCGTTTTAGCAGTGAAGTTTTACAGTATCATCATGATAAGACACTGACTTACTGAGCGTTGTATGTTTATTATCCTTTCCCTTTCAAACCATTCAAATCATCTTGAGATATATTTCAATTAAAAATAAACAGGAGTTGCAGATGTAGCTTGGTGGTAGAGCACTGGACTTGGCAAAGCGCTGGGTTTGATATCACCACCAGCACAGCACCACCACCGCCGCCACCGCCACCAACAACACCCACTCAATCTGAATACAGAATTTCCTACGTGCTATTAGGTAGTAGGGGTTGCAGGGGCTCCCATGTGTCTGACAGCTGCCAAGCCCAAGCAAGGTGAAGCGGGTGCCACTGCTGATTGACAGCCCACCCACCTAAGACTAAACTGACAGGAAGCGCGTCAAATACACCTGAGGCTGCAGAGCTTCAAGGATCACATTGTTGCCCTAGCAACATCACCATAGCAACAACAGCAACGATTGGCTCTTGGACATTGCCGCAGTTTCTGGTGCAAAGGTGATCAAAGCATTGCTATGGCAACCAGAAACTGAGGGAACTAGGTTTGACAGCTCAGTGCCCACTTCCTTAACATCATGGTGTGGGACCTGGGACCTGAATAGTAGGCTTTCTCTTTCTCCAAGCGGGTTTGACAGCTGTACCCTGATTGGCCCTGTTGTGTACCTTGTTTGCGTATACACACATTCAGCCAATCAGACTTCAGTTGGCCCTGTTGCTTAGCGGAGGCGCTCTGGAGGGGCCAGTCTCTCCTTGAAGCTCTTCTCAGAATAAGAAAGGAATGTCTTCAGAATCTGGTTTCTAGAGGACCCCTGCGCCACCAGGGGCCTGGCCCGGGATGCTCTTTGGAGAAAGAAGACCAATTTGAGGACTTGCCAAAGACCCATTGAAGGCGTCTCAGGCTCCGTTGAGTCCCCAAAACACCGCACCTGGGTCTCATAGCACAATCGTTTCCCACAGCTGACTCCAGCCTCCAAGAAACCTGCTGCTCCTGCCATTCCTTGGAGCGCTCGTCGGTGGCTGGTGGCCTCGTTCTGAAGGCTTCCTTCTTGATGGAATGGCTCTACCAAGACCCTCCAAGTGCTTTCAGTCTGTAACACTTGCCAACAGTCCCTCAGTTAGCACCCTGGAGCCTGCCAAACTCACAGAGCTATAGCATACCCCCCCCCCTTGGATGGCATTTTGCTGCCAGTGAGAGTCTCAAGCTGTTTATCTTCCTGTTTAAACTGCTACTCTTCCACTCTTCCGTAGAAGCAGCCTTCAGAAAGGCTGCGCTCACTCGTATTGAGCTCAGTAGCTGGTTCCACTCTCTTACACACCCTCTGACCCAACCCTCGCAGCACTTTGCTATTCAGAGAAGCTAACCTGGCCTGGCCTCCAAAAGAGGCAGGAGCCTGGACCCTCAGAGACAGCCTCTGCCCCTTAAAACCCACGGCCTCCCTTGCCTGTGCACCCCATCCTTTCCCGTCCAATCTTCCTACCTATTCTTGAGGAAGGAGAACCAAGGCTGGGAAAGGGAGGGCATAAGCTTCAATTCCAGTTCCCCAGAGAACTGCCGCACCCATCTCTTGCTGAGTCCCTTCTGTTATGGTTTATCTTGGTTGTTAACTTCACTGAGTCTGGAAGAGACTCCCCTCTGGGAGGGTCTATAAGAAAGACTAACAGAGGCAGGGAACGTTCTCTACCAGAGTAGATGGCACCTTCTGGTGGTAACCTAAACATAAGGAAGTCCAAGGGAAAAAGCTGACTTTTACAAGCTTTTATTGTTTTTTTACATTTCTTGGAGGGAAATCCATGGAGGCCTGGGTACTTTCTATACAGTAGTGTAGGGTTTACATAGCACATAGGGAAGGAGGAAGGGAGAGAGAGTGTGAGCTTAAAAGAGAGAGAAAACACATGAGCACAATTGTTACAGTATACGCACACACACATGCAGGTCAGAGAACAACTTGCAGAAATCAGTTCTTTCCTTCCACCATGTGGGTCTCAGAGATCAAACTCGGGTCTTCAGGCTTAGTGGCAAATGCCTTTACCCACTGAGCCATCTCGATAGCCAAAGCTGTGCCTCTTTTGTCTGTTTGCCTTCCCCTCTTGTTTGTTATTGCATCTAAACTGCTGCTGCCGCCGCCACCACCACCACCACCGCTGTCCTTCACTGACTTCAGAACCATCTTCTTTAGCTTTCCAGTGTGGACTGAGAACCACTCTGTAATTCTCAAGGCCTCCAGCATCAGGCTGGGACTGCTGAGGTATCCAGCTTCAGAGACTGGGCACCTTTTGTTCTGGCTTTTCCAGTGTGAGCCCAGCCAGCCGTTGCTGGACTCCCCAGCCCATATCATGTAAATCAGTTTAGCAAATCTTCTTTGCCGTGTATATTCATTCTGCGGGGTCTGTTCCCTTAGAAATTCTAACTGTGCCCTGAAACAGGCTCTTACATCATGTGCTATATGAGTC